CGACCTGTACATTAGCTAGCCATCTCAAGTCATTATATAGGCCACATGCACATTCAATACGCCACTACGATTCTGAACCGGAGCCGAATGCGGGGCGCATCCAGACGGGGTTGTTTTACGCGCAAAATCCTCCATCCTTGATATTATTCTTTATGTTCTGTCGTTCATCATACATTAAAAGTATCAATTATTCTATCACAAAGAATAATTTCCCTAGTTTGCTTGCTGAAATTAGGCAACGGCACAGCACATTGGATGGTCAGGAATTAACAAAATATCATAAAGTAATAAATAATAAATAAATAGATAAATGTGTGATGATAATAAATAAATAGCAGCTGTATCATATCATCAGTTGAAGGGCAATTATCGTCGCTGGTACTCTTTCACAGCAAACATCTCGATTTCGATGAAAATGGAAGTGAAACTCTTGCTCGAATGAAGTCGCAGATCCGAATTGTTGGGCTAGCATTTCAATTCCAGAGGAAACCTGCTAATCGAAGTTCGCCTTTCCAGAAGGAAATACCATTTTACTTTATTAGGATACCTTTATTAGGATACCAAGTGTTCAACATGGCAGTAGGCCTAGCACAGGCAGTAGACCTGAGGACGACTTGGCTGATCAACGACAAGCTCTAAAGCTGTAGAGGAGATGATGTGGACCAATAAGTATGAAATGCAATCCGGGGGCTTTGTGGCCACCTTTCACAATCCGAAGTATCCCAAACCTTTGGGGAACGATTTTCAATAGGAGCAATAAGGAAGCTGTGAGTAGTGCTGGGGCTGATAGCAGCCGTAGTAATGACGTTGTGGGAAACGTCGAGCTAAGCGGTTCTTTTTTGTCGGGAGGGGGTGATTAAAATGGAGGAAGTGCACAACTTCTATGTTCGTCCTTCCTGAGAGTCGAGCATAAAGAATGAAGCATTATAGAGCGCTGACTATTCAAGTTTGCCATAGTGCTTCAAATAAACCGTCTACTCGAAGGCACAGCTCACGACAGCTCAGTAGCACCCCTAGAATAATGGAATTCCCAGTCCAAAATAAAAACAAAAGTGATCCAGAACAAACAACAAAACAAACAACATGCTCGGTGCTGACTGCGATGCCGCGAATTCATTACTCCGAAAGCAGCAAAGCTCGTGACGCCTCCAACAAGCCGTTATATACATATACGACGAAACGAAAAAGGACCTTGGGTGAAGAGATCAGAGTGGGGACATGGGGGAGGGTATGGGTATACTGGGGAAGACGGGCAGTAGGAACGATTTTGTGTAATCGATCCGCCGCACGCGGCTGTCGCGGACCATTTGCCTCATTATAACAGTTCCAGCGTTATTCATACAGCTCATTCGTTATGCAATTATTACTTTTGGCATGATTCTACTGTTAGTTTTTTTTTGTTCTTGTTCTTTTTACTTGCAGCTACATTCTGCTACGTTCTTTCGCGCGCGACGTCTTCCTCGCCGCGACGCGACTATTTCGATAATTCTGCACCACACCCGTATATTGGTGCATTCTGAGGTGCACGCGGCAGGTGCGTGGCGTAATTCGTGGTGATTTGGACGACTCTGGCTTTTATCATTGCGCCCCATGTGAAACCAATGAGGACTGTACTGAATAAGAGCCAGTTCATCACCTTCAACCCTGCATGATGTGGCCACATCTGCACCGACGAGACTACAAGCGTGTTGGGCATACGCGTGAAGTACACCCAGAAAGCCATTGAGGTGGAAGGCTACTTACTTAGGAAGCATTGACTGAAAGAACAGCTTACAAGGAGTTTCAGTACTTGGCATACCGTTTTAGTATCGTATATCTCCATGTAAAATCTAGAACTGAGGAGTCGAAGGAAACGAGGGCACAGCTTGGGATACGTAGAGGATTGTCGGGTAGGGAAGCGGTTTAACTGGATGCCGGAACTTCTCCCCGAATTCCCGCGGCAACCGGCAAAGGTAGTGCGGCGGACGCGACGCCATTTTCGGGGAGAAGATACCGCACCCGGCTCAACTAGGATGCA